ATTCACCTTCTGCTGGTTGTGTGATAACATGGCACACATTGTTTGCGCCGACTTTGGGCAAATTGGAGGACGCGTAGTCGACCTCATAAAGACTCGCTGCGGTAAAGAACGACATGCGGGTTTTTATGAGACAGACTCATACTGAATTCGCTGCGCTCAACTCCGGATACAAAATGCTACAGGATAAGTTTCTTGTGTTGGAGTCTCATTTCAAAAATCTAAAAATTTTGACTGAGTCGCCAAAGCGAAAGAAGGTTACCAACTATTTGCCAATCTCTAATCCGGTCGTTTCTCTTCCAGTCCCGGGATCACCTGCACCCCAATCTCGATCACCGTCACTTATAAATTCTGACGCCATGGACCTTTGTTATAATGGTTACATTATACGCGCCGAATACGACGGAGGCCTCATCTGCAGTCTCTCCTGCAGTCGCACCTGCCGCCACTCCCGCGCCCGTGTCTGACCAGGACGTCGGTCCGAATGTCCTCGAGGAAGCCGTCGCAATCGCTTCCGTGGTCCAACTTGAAGCCGCTAACGCTGCCGTCCGGAGGGTTGTTGAGGCTCCCCAACTAACACCTCTACGTCCACTGCTCCCGTCTCAACAAATAATTCTGTGACCCCCCTATCTGTTCTTACTGCGGTTGCTCCTTCAAAACCTATTTTCGTCTCTCGACTCATGGCATCGGCTACGGAGGTCATGGTCCGAAACTTTATATTGTCTAAACTCAACATAGATAGTTCTGCGGGTCTCGTAGTTACCAGTCGTGCCAGTGGTGCGGAAATGCATTTTGTTGTTGTCATTTCCAATGCCCCCACTGTAAAGTTCATTTGCTACCGCATATGCACATGCAGCGGAATTCTTTCGTCTCTTAATATCGCAATCTCTCGTACTCGGCTTAACAGCGGCCCGAGCAGCTCTAACGCTCTCGGGCTATCCTACTCTCTCGCTCGCGTCTAAGCTTGCTGCATAGGGCCCGGCAATTTGGCCCGTCAGCCCTTGAATTGTCAGTCTTGAGCTAATCGTCGCAGCTATTAGATTAACATCCTCGCATCAATCGTTCGCCCAATCATCCCCATATTTACATACGCGATAACCTGTACATATGCAGTACAGCATATGCAGTACGCAGCATATAAGTACATATGCAAATAAATTGTGAATTATATATAACCTCTCGACTTTCATTAACTTCAAAAATTGCAACAGTTATTAAAAACGCTTAATAGCTTAACAATCTCAATGCTAGGGATCTCCGGGGGCTCCAGTTCTGGCTCGACCTTCGGTTGCATGCCCGTAGAGTCGGACTTGTACGAGGTGGTCTTCTTGTAACCGTAGTCCAATCTAACAGCTATCTTTCCTGCATGCTCGCGTAACAGCCTTCTGCTGGTTTCAGACGGGAAACTTGATGGTGCAGTAAGTACACTACCTCCTGCAAGATGCAAGAGTAATCTTATAGTAGATAATTATTTTTACTGAACTGAAAATATGTTTCGTAGAAATAATATACACTGCAGATAGTTGCACATAGTCACAGAGTATATATGTATTCAACGAAACCCAATTGCCTTTCCTTTCTGTGACGACTGAAAGGAGTTAAACTGGAACATACACCTCGTCGTTGGATAATTGATTCTCGATCCGGCCCCCTACACTCAATCACTTTTCAGTTTAAACGACTGAGGAAGAAAGTGATAAATCAGCTATTTTCTTTTATTTTAAAATCATCCAACATATGTAAACAATATTAAATATTGATTCTTTTCTTGTGATATCCATCGCAATCCAACCTAGCTTGCTTCTGCGTAAACGATTGTGCATCAGGATCATCAGATGAGTCCCTGCAGTGCCAATAAAGTGGTTTACAGATCCCAATTACACCAAAAAATAAACTCACTGAACTACAGAGAAATCACTTAAATCGCCATAATCTATTGGCCGATGACACAGGCAGCATTTGTTGTTGGATTTGCTGAAACACCTCGGGCAGAAGACACCTTTGCAGCCTAGTGAGTCGCAATTTATGCGGGTGGAACTGGAGGACAGAATGAAAGTCTGAACAATAGCAGAACAAAATATTGACGAATTACCTACGAGCTTAAGGACTTGGCGCAAATGATGCAGATATCACTACTCATGGCACCAACCAGACAGGCACAACAGCAGCATCTAATGGCGAAAGTTTCAATTAAATATGTGGAAATGTCTGCTCCGCGAATCTCACCGATTCAGATTGCCCCTGAACGAGCTGATGTGCCCTTTTCGATCCTGGTACATTAAGGCAGCGCGGATCTGGCGACGGGCCAACTTGAATACGCTTATTCGCTCAGTCAAGATCTTGTTGTGCAGATACATGGCCCTCTCATGGTCTCGCTCCGGGTAGAAGCAACGCATAATCACATGACGTAGGCGCAGGAAATACGGCTCCGTCAGCAGGACCAGCCAGGCGAATAGACAGAGTCCCAATATCTCAGCATATCTGTAATGGTTCGGTTCTACAGGCTGAGGCAAACATTCACTCGTTTCCAAGACGGTTTTCTGAGTGAGGGGCCGAAACCCCTTGGATATCCCTCGCATTATTTCAACCAAAAACCCTCCTCCTTTGATCTTCAGATCTGTATAGGCAGGCACTTCTAGTCCGGACTTCTGATGGCCATAGTACGACATGGTGGCCAGCATCATCCGCCTAATAGTTATTTTTTTCCGTGATTTAAGGAGACGTGATTTATAAAACGTTTATTGTGTTTGTAATTAATCGAGCATTCTGTTTGCTACATGTGCATAACCAGTACTCCTGTTTTCGTGTAGTTATTCCCAAATTTTTAATCCAATTTGTGTTTTCTTTCCTACCCCGTCATTCTTAGTCACCGGCAGCTGCATTGCTGTTGACATATGTATTGTCGATGCACTCTATCTGAGCCGCTCTCTCTTCTTATCTACATTTTAATCTTCTCCGCATAAATACTAACACAGTCGTATTGCGTTTGCCGCCTCCCTCTCCGCGTCGGACGCTTTGTGTTTTTCGTGTTCGTTTTGTGTTTGTGATTTTGCGACGGCCAAATCGTTGTTCGTTGTTGTTGCTGTATTGATCTACGTAATTGTTTGTGCTACTTGATCATTATTAGTTTCGACTTAAAGTCATCGCTCAAGCATTTTCCTCGAATAATCTCACCTTTCTCATATTTATTTTCCTCATCTTTTCATAATGAGTATTTGTTGTGCTAAACGCTGCCGCTCAGCTGCCACACGGCAAACATTCACCTTCTGCTGGTTGTGTGATAACATGGCACACATTGTTTGCGCCGACTTTGGGCAAATTGGAGGACGCGTAGTCGACCTCATAAAGACTCGCTGCGGTAAAGAACGACATGCGGGTTTTTATGAGACAGACTCATACTGAATTCGCTGCGCTCAACTCCGGATACAAAATGCTACAGGATAAGTTTCTTGTGTTGGAGTCTCATTTCAAAAATCTAAAAATTTTGACTGAGTCGCCAAAGCGAAAGAAGGTTACCAACTATTTGCCAATCTCTAATCCGGTCGTTTCTCTTCCAGTCCCGGGATCACCTGCACCCCAATCTCGATCACCGTCACTTATAAATTCTGACGCCATGGACCTTTGTTATAATGGTTACATTATACGCGCCGAATACGACGGAGGCCTCATCTGCAGTCTCTCCTGCAGTCGCACCTGCCGCCACTCCCGCGCCCGTGTCTGACCAGGACGTCGGTCCGAATGTCCTCGAGGAAGCCGTCGCAATCGCTTCCGTGGTCCAACTTGAAGCCGCTAACGCTGCCGTCCGGAGGGTTGTTGAGGCTCCCCAACTAACACCTCTACGTCCACTGCTCCCGTCTCAACAAATAATTCTGTGACCCCCCTATCTGTTCTTACTGCGGTTGCTCCTTCAAAACCTATTTTCGTCTCTCGACTCATGGCATCGGCTACGGAGGTCATGGTCCGAAACTTTATATTGTCTAAACTCAACATAGATAGTTCTGCGGGTCTCGTAGTTACCAGTCGTGCCAGTGGTGCGGAAATGCATTTTGTTGTTGTCATTTCCAATGCCCCCACTGTAAAGTTCATTTGCTACCGCATATGCACATGCAGCGGAATTCTTTCGTCTCTTAATATCGCAATCTCTCGTACTCGGCTTAACAGCGGCCCGAGCAGCTCTAACGCTCTCGGGCTATCCTACTCTCTCGCTCGCGTCTAAGCTTGCTGCATAGGGCCCGGCAATTTGGCCCGTCAGCCCTTGAATTGTCAGTCTTGAGCTAATCGTCGCAGCTATTAGATTAACATCCTCGCATCAATCGTTCGCCCAATCATCCCCATATTTACATACGCGATAACCTGTACATATGCAGTACAGCATATGCAGTACGCAGCATATAAGTACATATGCAAATAAATTGTGAATTATATATAACCTCTCGACTTTCATTAACTTCAAAAATTGCAACAGTTATTAAAAACGCTTAATAGCTTAACAATCTCAATGCTAGGGATCTCCGGGGGCTCCAGTTCTGGCTCGACCTTCGGTTGCATGCCCGTAGAGTCGGACTTGTACGAGGTGGTCTTCTTGTAACCGTAGTCCAATCTAACAGCTATCTTTCCTGCATGCTCGCGTAACAGCCTTCTGCTGGTTTCAGACGGGAAACTTGATGGTGCAGTAAGTACACTACCTCCTGCAAGATGCAAGAGTAATCTTATAGTAGATAATTATTTTTACTGAACTGAAAATATGTTTCGTAGAAATAATATACACTGCAGATAGTTGCACATAGTCACAGAGTATATATGTATTCAACGAAACCCAATTGCCTTTCCTTTCTGTGACGACTGAAAGGAGTTAAACTGGAACATACACCTCGTCGTTGGATAATTGATTCTCGATCCGGCCCCCTACACTCAATCACTTTTCAGTTTAAACGACTGAGGAAGAAAGTGATAAATCAGCTATTTTCTTTTATTTTAAAATCATCCAACATATGTAAACAATATTAAATATTGATTCTTTTCTTGTGATATCCATCGCAATCCAACCTAGCTTGCTTCTGCGTAAACGATTGTGCATCAGGATCATCAGATGAGTCCCTGCAGTGCCAATAAAGTGGTTTACAGATCCCAATTACACCAAAAAATAAACTCACTGAACTACAGAGAAATCACTTAAATCGCCATAATCTATTGGCCGATGACACAGGCAGCATTTGTTGTTGGATTTGCTGAAACACCTCGGGCAGAAGACACCTTTGCAGCCTAGTGAGTCGCAATTTATGCGGGTGGAACTGGAGGACAGAATGAAAGTCTGAACAATAGCAGAACAAAATATTGACGAATTACCTACGAGCTTAAGGACTTGGCGCAAATGATGCAGATATCACTACTCATGGCACCAACCAGACAGGCACAACAGCAGCATCTAATGGCGAAAGTTTCAATTAAATATGTGGAAATGTCTGCTCCGCGAATCTCACCGATTCAGATTGCCCCTGAACGAGCTGATGTGCCCTTTTCGATCCTGGTACATTAAGGCAGCGCGGATCTGGCGACGGGCCAACTTGAATACGCTTATTCGCTCAGTCAAGATCTTGTTGTGCAGATACATGGCCCTCTCATGGTCTCGCTCCGGGTAGAAGCAACGCATAATCACATGACGTAGGCGCAGGAAATACGGCTCCGTCAGCAGGACCAGCCAGGCGAATAGACAGAGTCCCAATATCTCAGCATATCTGTAATGGTTCGGTTCTACAGGCTGAGGCAAACATTCACTCGTTTCCAAGACGGTTTTCTGAGTGAGGGGCCGAAACCCCTTGGATATCCCTCGCATTATTTCAACCAAAAACCCTCCTCCTTTGATCTTCAGATCTATATAGGCAGGCACTTCTAGTCCGGACTTCTGATGGCCATAGTACGACATGGTGGCCAGCATCCAGAAGAGGCTATAATCCAAAAAGCAAATGGAAAACAATTGCAGGGAGGTAAAAATCATGAAAAAGGAACTCTCCCCAATATACAAGCACTCGGAAGAGGTGAGACGCGGACTGGTGATCTGTAATCAGAGAATATCTTTAGAGAATTTCATTAATAGAAATCGCAATAGCCCAACCCTTATGTATTTCCTTCTTTCAAGTCGATTCAGGGGCAGCAGCAGCGCGTCTCCATGATTCTGTCTCTGAATGTCGATCGCATAAAAAGATTCGGTTAAAAATACATTCTTATACTCCAGGCTATGCATGTAGCGGATATAAAAGTAGGTGCCCCTGGAAAGGAATTAGAATTACCAGCATAACTGATAAACTTCGATATTAAGGATTCCGAGTTCTTGCCTACTTAAGAAACACTGCCGCAACCAAAATGTAACAGAGGACATCCAGCAAGCCGAACATTAGCATCAATGGTTTCAATAGCCTGTTGATATCCTGTACGATTTCTTCACCCACCTTTAAAAGATCCTTCGAGGAGTTTGTGTTGAAATAGAAGTCGTGTTCAAATGTGATTTTGTCATCAAACATTTCCTTGATATGACCCAAAAAATCATGGTACTCTGATGCAAGAAACAACAAATATATAAATATATGAGTAGAATTTTGAACTATTCTACCTACGCTCCATGACCTTATCCAGCATCTCCCAGTTCACATCCCAAAAGCCACTGCAAAATACATCTATGATCTTTGCGGGATAGCAGAGGGCCAGAAACAGTTTGGTAGCGTGGCAAAGTGGCTTGAAGATTCCCAACTTGGTCTGACACCGGGTCATGGCACGAAGGGCAGCCCGCTTGCAACGTCCCCACGGTGTGCCCAACTCTTCATTGCACATATCCACAATGGATTTCAGCCAGGCCAGACAGTTCTTGAGGATTGCAACTGAAAGGGAGACTACTGGTTTAGGAACAGATCCTGGACAGCCAGACTCCGTTTACTCACTGATGATGATAAGATAGTCTTGGATACGCAGTAGAGGCTCCATTACTTGACTGAGAGCTTGACGCATCTCGTCCAACATTAAATCTATGGCCATTTTAATGGATTTCGCTGGTTCTATTAATACGTCCATCATTTGGCCAAGTTCCTGTCGCAACAGCTCTTGTCCGCAGGCCAGGCTGCGCAGCATCACTTTAAGGTTTGCAAGGATATTGGCAGTCGGCCCAATGGCAGCCAGAAGGAACGCCAGGGCTATAAGACAAGAGCGTCCGCGGGAGCTGCAGAGCGAAGGAATAGCCAGAGTCAGTATGCACCTGTGGAGAGAAATAATCAGGGATTTCCAGTGACTATCAGTATAAGCCCGCACTTACCTAACTGGACGGCCATAAAAGAGAAGAATAAAGAGCAATGTCAGGCTTACAATTGTCAGCCATCGAGGATTGAGGTCTTGCAATCTCAGGGACGGATGCCTTTCATACCACACGAGTGTTAGAACTGTACCACAGAGATATCCACAAAGAACGATTGGCACGCAAACTTTACATATCCAAATGGCGTTTTTAATTTCCATTTTGTAAGACGCCAAAAATTCAAATATTTTATTGTTAATGTCGTTACTCCGTTATCGGACGTTGGCCATCTCTAAAAGCTTGTCATTGACAAATTACCCAAAACTAAGGCCGTCCTGCATACAGTTTACTGCATGATGGTGTGATGGACCTATTTCAGACTGAGGTAAGCTCAGTCATGTCCAGAGGTCAATCCACAAGAAATTTGTAGAAAAAGATGGAACTTCTAGGGGGACGTCAGGGTTGCCATGTCGTAAAGAGGATGGATCTGGGCTAGGGCTATTCGGAATGAACTTACGCAGTTTGATATTATTTAGATAATTAGACACTTTATTATAAACTCTTTTAGCACTTGTTAAATTCGTAAGCTATTTGGTACAACGTCTGTACTCGTTGCCGGGTTTCTACGTAAGCTCTTTGTTTGTAGGGGGGCGGACGAAGCTCAAGTCTCCAACGACGATATGGATGATGAAGTGAAACCTCCTGTAGCCGTCGCAAGAAAAGAAACTGCCGTGGTGCTTTGTGGTAAATGTGTGGTATTTATTTCGGGGGTCGCGCGGTAGATCGTGCGTTTGAAAAGGGGGTTGAAACGTCACTACTTAACTCTATGCCTTATGGTGCTTTTTCTGCCGTGAGCGCCGTGTGGATCGTGGATTGTGGATCCGAGCGCCCCTCCGAGCGCGCGAGAGCGAGCCGGGACCGAGGCGCGCGGAGCCGGCACAGTGCGCGGAAACTGTCTACTGCTGGCCTGAACATCCTCCCCCCCCTTGCAGGATTGCAAAGTATAATGGGGTCGCAGTATTTTGCAATATTTGCAATATTTGTCAATGAGGACAGCTCGGAGTCTCTTCTCAGGGCTCAGGCGAAGGAAATGGTGACAGGTCCGCAGCGGATGAACTCCTCGGCAGAGCCGGCAACGGTACGAGTTGATCCCTCGATCACGACGGCTCTCCGTGGTGCGGCTGGCGCGGATCCGTGGGGCCATGTCTGGATGAGGATGGAACTAGGATGGAATAGAGAAGTCGAAGAAGTATTAGTACGGAGCTGTGAATGGGACAAGTTCACATTCACGTTATTGTTGGATGGAACTACAGGGTTCTACTGGCAGGAGAACGACCTTTACAACCGGTCTTTTGAGGGTACCGCGGGCAGTAAGGATATCCTAAGTTATCCTTCCGAGCCGCCATTCGTTGGACGGCAGGGTATCATCTTTGATGACCACCATATCGCCAACCTGCAGATTTGGCGTCGGCGTCTGCCACTTAGTCCGCTTGTGGAGCTCCTTGAGGTATTCCTCCTTCCACCTTTGACAGAACTGTTGGTTGAGGAGGGCCTTCAAATGCTGCCACCGATTGATGATCGAATTAAGGTTCCCTTTTATTTCGGGCTCGGCCGTAATCATTAAGGGTCCCCCAATAAGGAAGTGCCCGGTAGTGAGGGCCAGCAGCTCCGTCGGATCATCGGACATCGGTGAGAGCGGCCTGGAATTGAGGCACGCTTCAATTGGCGAGCAGCGTAGAAAGCTCCTCAAACGTATACCTCCGAGTGGACGTGGCCTTGTAGAAGAGAGTTTTGAAACTCTTCACTCCGGCTTCCCATAGGCCTCCCATATGTGGAGCTCTTGGTGGGATGAAGCGCCACGAAACCCGCTGATGGCTATACGCATCAGTCACCGAGACCTTAAACGCGTCAAGGAAGTCACTGGAAAGCAGGGTTGCTGCACCAACGAAAGTTTTTCCATTATCTGAATGGATACGCTGTGGACATCCGCGCCTTGCGACGTACCGAGCGAAAGCGGCGAGAAATTTTTCGGTGGTGAGGTCGGACGTGGGTTCTAAATTTATCGCCTTTGTGGAAAAGCACACGAATACGCACACATACCCCTTCGTGATCAGACATGCTCTCCCTGTATAGTTCCGTATTTCAAAAGGACCCGCGTAATCAATACCTGTATGCGTAAACGGTCTGGAAAAGGACGACCGCTCGGTTGGAAGATCTCCCATCATTTGGGTTGCAACATCCTTTTGTGAATAACGCAGACCTTGCAGGAGTTCACAACCCCCTTCATAAGCCTTTGAACCTTTGGAATCCAATACTTTGATCGAATGAGGCGCACCATCAATTGGTTTCCGCCATGAAGAGTTATCCGGTGTGTAAATTGCGCGAGAAGGCGAGACAATTATATAGGAGAATGATTGGATGTTGTTCGTCGTATCTTAGCACTTTAGAGCCTCCGACACGGCCGCATGCTCTGATCAACCCATGGCGGTCTAGGAAAGGGTTCATGTTCAGGATAGAACTTGACCTTGGCGTTGGCCGCTTACCGCTTAGGCAGCGATACTCCTCGGGGTATTCACTACGCTGCGTCTCTAGGATAAGAGATTTTTCAGCTTCGGTAATTTCGCCGCTCGTAAGATGGCCCTTTTGCGCGGTGGCTAACTTCCCGCAGCGCTTGGTAAAGCGCAGGATATATGCTCGGACTCGTAGAGCTCTCTCCAGTCTTCGGCTGGGTTGAGTGCGAAATGGACCTTTACAGTTCGCTGCTCTAAAGTCATAACGGGGGAGTTACTAGCTGGTGCCGGCCATTGATCTCGGCCGCTCTGCAGCCAAGTTGGTCTGTGCCACCAGGGTTGGTTATCCACCAACTCCTGTAACGGCACGCCTCTGCTGGCTAAGTCCGCGGGGTTCTGTTCGGATGGAACGTGGCACCACTTCTCAATATCGGTCGCTTGAGATATCCTAGTCACTCGGTTGGCCACGAACGTGGTCCGTGACACGCGGGCTTTGCCAGCCAGGCGAGGACTCTGGTGGAATCGGTCCAGCAATAGCAGCTCGTACTTGCTGTTGGCATATTCGGCAGGATAGCTGCCGCCATTTCGGACAAAAGCACTGCCCCGCAAAGCTCTAACCGGGGGAGCGACACGGTTTTCACGGGTGCGCCTCACGTTTTCGCTGTGAAAAGCTGCACCTCGACCAAACGGTCAACCTCAATGCGCACGTAGATGGCGGCACCGTAAGCCTTCTCGGATGCATCGCGGAACCCATAATGTTCAACTTTTACCGCTGGCCGGGAGCCGACCCTTCTTGGAATATGGATTTGGTCGAGAGCGGAGTAACTCCGCAGGAAACTTTGCCAGCGCTGGAAGCTCATCGTCCCATTCCAGGTCCTGCAACCAGATTTCTTGCATGAAGATCTTGGACCGGACAATGAATGGGGCCAACCACCCCGCGGGGTCGAACAGCCTTGCGATCTGGGACAGAACTGCTCGCTTGGTGTATGACGACTCAGGCGCTAACTCGGGAGGGACAAAAAAATACTCGTCTAAAGTCGCTTTCCAGCGAATACCGAGAGTCTTAGCCGTGCTCTCTCCCTACATCTCCAGAAAATCGGAGAGCTAAGTGCGGCCAGCAACTCGCGGATCGTTAGTCGAGCCTCATCGGTAGAATCCGCTCCGGCTAGGACATCGTCGACATACATGAATGACCGGATAATGCGACTTGCTTTCGGAAATCTGGACTGGACGTCGCTTGCTAGCTGTTGCAACACTCGGATGGCAAGAAAAGGAGCGCAATTGACTCCGAAGATTACGGTCTTAAGGGCATAGTCGCGGATGTGTCCCTCCTTTCGAAATAATATTCGCTGGAAAGGGGTGTGTTTCGGGTCAACCCAAATTTTGACGATACATTTTGGTGATGTCCACGTTGAAAACGTACCGGAAATAACGCCACTTTAGGATCTAGAGGGTCAAGTCAGATTGGAGGACCGGGCCGGCGTGCAGAAGATCATTCAAACTCACATCGTTGGTCGACGGCCTGGATGCGTTAAACACCACGCGGACCTTCGTGGTAGTGCTCTCAGGCTTGAAGACAGCGTGGTGCGGAAGGTAGTAGGTTGAGGACCCATGAGTCGGAGGAACTTCTGTCATGTGCTCAAGCTCTAGGTTGTAGAAATAGAATCGTAATAGAATAGAAACAGCGAAAACACTTCTGTTCTGTCTTTGGGTTGTATTCGGAATGAATTCAATTTATTCTTCAAAAACTTATTTAGCCTAAAGTACATAATGTTCTTGGTTGAGTTCTGTCGCTAAGGGCAGCGGCAGAACGGGATCATGTAGCATGCCATATGTATGTGTATATTTATGTTTGTAAGAATGTATATGCAGAAGGCATCTACATTGGAATGCTCATTTGGCCACTTGGAATATATTGCCGACACTGCAGTTCTCACGCTGCAGGCCAGTCCACATATAAGGGACTGATCGTACATTGCCACAAAGTGTCTTTATGTTTATGAGCGTGATACTCAACATTAACTTTGGGCATATGACCACTTGACATATTGTATACATATTGTATGCATATGCTTATTTGGTATACAACATACTACACCTCCCTTTTTAGAGAAATAACGTAATATAATTATGTAGTTATTTATTTTTTTTTTAAATCCTTTTTTTTGGATATCTTTTATGTTGATTATCTCTTTTTTTTCAATTATATATATTTTTTTTTGTGTATATATATATAGTGACATATCTATAGTCCATGCTCCGCATACCCTGGTCTATGTCTATTACCCTGCACCCACAATACTATAAACAATCCGACACCAATCGATTCTCAAGAACCGCGCCATCGTAGCTGACCAATCAGAGGCCCTATTCTCAGCCACCCCCAAGTAATGCAACACCGATCATACGCAGCGGAAGCCTTTCATCAAAAGCCGCCTTTCCCACATATCGATCGAGTCACGTACTCCATCTCCGAAGCCGAAGTCGAAGCCAACACCTCCGACTGCAAATCCGAATCCCAAACCGAGCATGATAATATAAATAGTCTACATTTGGGAAGGCAAATCAGTTCTGTTCAAGACAAACGTCAATCGCGACACCGTCGGAGAATTCAACAAAAGTTAATTCCATTCAAGACATCGGACCTCAGTCATCGTCGGAATTCTTTCTTGGTTCCCTACCTATCGCACCGCTCAGCAGCCCGTATACACGTCTAGAGACTAGCTTACCCCTGAACTCCCACGCTTGTACTCGTCGAAAGCCTCCTCTTCCCCGTGGGTGCAGCGTATATGCAGGATCTCCTCTCCGTAAGTGTAGTGTCGATGCAGGGTCTTCTCCCCGTAAG